CAACGATCCAAACTATCCAAACTATCCATGTATCCGAGTAGGTGTCGCCCACCGCTGTGACGTCGAGTCTCCGCTGTGGCCGGATGGCGGTGCTGCAGCAAACGCTGTCAATGAACCAGCCGTCGAGCGCCAAGGCACTGGTTGGTACCATGAAGCACGACCTCTTTGAGCGAGCGCTCCAGTCGGGCTACCACTCGATCCCATACCTCATTGAGCAAAGCCAAAGCATCATCCAAGACAGGTACTATACTACCTTTGTAGCTAGAGACTGTCATCCGTTGAAACGTATAGTCTGCTCAAGTGCTTGGAATCCGGCATCACCGAGACCCAAGCGGCCGAAGAGATCAAGTCGTCGTTCCAGAGCATGCACGCATGGCTGCAGAAGCTCCACACGACCGGCATCGTTGTCGGCAACGCGAATCTGCGTCTCGAGGCCGTCCTTGCGACGGAGGAGCCGCTGTGGTCGATCAAATATGGGCTAAAGGGCGCCGTTGACGCGACGATCCGCGTGCTTCAGAACGGCGGGCGCAAGGCCATCGTGCCGCTCGAGCTCAAAACCGGCAAGAAGGCATATGCGCTCGCCGAGCACCATGGCCAAGTCCTCTTGTACTCGCTCCTTCTCGAAGAGCGGTACCAAGGTCGGCTTGCCTTTTTTATTTTTTCGATGTTTGCTCATTTTTTGAAAATGACTAGAGTGCTCGGAAGGACTGCTCTTGTACCTTCTCGAGAACGAGTCACTTGTGGTTGCAAGGGACACGCCAATCGCCCGCGCGCTCCTGCAAGCGCGGAACCAGCACGCTGCGCATATGGCCAAGTACCAAGGCGAGAGTGTCTACCCGCCGATGCTGCGGCAGCCGCGCGACTGTGGGTTTTGCTTCTCGGCGGCCGAGTGCATGCTCCACCATGCGTCCGAAGAGATGGGGACGGCCGCGACCAGGTCCTTTTCTGTTTGATTTTCTTTTTTGTATCAATTTTGTATCCATATTCTAGTGGCGCCGTGGATGTGTTTGCCAAGCACACGACCCACTTGCTACCCGACGAGCGCGCGTACTTTGCGACGTGGAATCGGCTCGTGGACCTCGAGTTCCGGTCGAGTCAGACAGCAGTTCAGCAGCTGTGGCTCGACTCGAACGACGTCCGTGCAGCGAACGGCACGTGCTTGCTGCATCTGAGCCTTGGTAGCGTGACGCCCAAAACGCTCACGCTTCGATCGCCAGCGCCCTTGTCGTCCACCGATCTCAAGTTTCACGTTGACGACCGCGTCATTTTGAGCTGCGAGTCGGACGCCGCGTTGCTTTTGCAGGACGTATCACAGGTACCAGCCTCGAATCGATATATTTCCCAAGAAAAAGACAATGCAATATTGTCTATTAGCGTTATTCGACCAAGACATTGAAATCGCCTTGTTTGCACCCATCTCACGCGCGGTGCTCCAAGGCGACTCGGTCGTTGGGCAACACCCGCGCTGGCGCATCGACAAAGATGCGCTGCCGTGGGGTCTCTCGCAAGCCAAGCGCAACCTCGCCCAGCTCTTTGTCGGTCCATCGCCGCATGGTATCGTCGCCGGTGTCCACCCAACCCGCTTTCGTCGACCACCGATCGATCCCGAGACCGACCGGTGTGGCGACGCCGACCGGCGCAAGTTGATTTGCTGCCTCGAGGCGCCCCGGTTTCTCGCACCGACGACGACGTTGGCGATGCTCCAAGCGCATGCAATCGCGCACCCACACAGCCCGCGGTACGAAGCGCTCTACGCGGACTTTTTACGCATGAACCCGGACCAGCAGCGCGCGATTGAAAAGGTAATTTTGGTGTATTTTCGAGATGTTTTGTAAAAATGCATTTGGGTCTAGGTGCTGCATGCAAAGGACTATGCGCTGATCCTGGGCATGCCGGGCACGGGCAAGACGTCGGCGATCACCATGTGTGTTCGTCTCTTGCTGCATCTGGGGTTTTCGGTCCTCGTGACCAGCTATACGCACTCGGCGGTCGACACGCTCCTCCTGAAATTGCTCGAGTTTCAAGTGCCCATGCTCCGCGTCGGCTCGAAAGACCAAGTACACGCCCGGTTGCAGCCGCACTTGCTCTCGACGGTGTGCCAGCCGCTGCGAACGACCGCGGCCATCGAAAAGGTCATGGTGGCCGCGACGCTTGTCGGCTGCACGTGCCTCGGCACCAACCACGTGCTCTTTACAAAGCGGCGCTTTGACTATTGCATCGTCGACGAAGCGTCGCAGATCACACAGCCCGTGCTCTTAGGTGCACTGCGGTGCGCCGACACGTTTTGTCTCGTGGGCGACCACTACCAGGTACGACGGAGTCGTCTTGCGGTTGAATGCGATGCCATCGGGCGGCGTAGCTGCCACCGCTGGTGACAGCGCTCAAGGCGAAACTGGGCGGCCTCGACGTGAGTCTCTTCAAGCGCTTGGGCGAGGCACATCCGAGTGCGAGCGTCCAGCTCGGGTACCAGTACCGCATGCACCCGCACATCATGCTGCTCTGCAACGACCTCATCTACAACCATCAACTCAAGTGCGGCGCGCGTACAGACATCGCACCATGGGTGCTGTCGCCAAGGGCGCTGCCACCGTGGCTCACCCATGTGCTCTCGCCAAGCGTCAGCGTTGTGTTTCTGGACACGGATGCTTTGGGCCTGCACGAATGCCGGCAGTCCAAAGGCATCATCAACCCTGTCGAAGCCAGCGCCGTGCTCCAGGTCGTACGTGCGCTGCAGCAAGCGGGTGCGACGGACATTGGCGTGCTCTCGCCGTTCCGGTCCCAAGTGCATTACCTCCAGACCCACCATCGCGGCCCTGCCGTCGAGGTAAGACCGTTGCTTCTTCAACGTGGATACTTGATAGGTTGATACGAATCGCCTTAGATTTCAACCATCGACAAGTACCAAGGTCGGGATAAAGACGCTATCATCGTGTCGTTTGTCCGCTCCAATGCGACACCGACGGTACAAAAGTATCAAGGTATCAGAGGATACCATGCGTGAAATAGGTCGGCGAGCTCCTTCTGGATTGGCGGCGCATCAACGTGGCACTGACCCGTGCCAAGAAAAAGCTCGTGCTCGTTGGGTCGCCATCGACGCTTGCGGGAAGCCCCGTGCTTCGGTCGCTGCTTGCGCTTGTGCAGAAGCAGAAGTGGGTGCTGCCGCTGCCCGCGTCTGCAACAAGTGTGCCTATGATCCCACCACCACCCAACAACGACGACGACGGCGGTGCACAGCGCGTGTACGTACAAGCCCCGGTCGACGCCAATGCCATCGAAGGCCTTGCCATCAACGAGTTGCCGCGACGCGCACCACTGCGGCCGCACATGCCCGTGTCCCGCAACATTTTAGACGAGACCATGGGCTAAGGACGTGCGTTGCGATGACGACTCGATGCGTCGCGTCGTCCGAATGTGTGAAATAGAGAAGCCAATAGAATAGAATGTCCTAAAGACGGTCGTCAATCTGGTTGTGAGCCCTCTAAGACGGCAACGAAGCTGCAAGCCTCGTTGTTGGACCATGCAATGGAGCTTCGTGCGGCGGGTGCAGTCGGGTGTGGCAAAGGCGGCGCGTCGCCACACAGTGGGACGAGATGCAATCGAGGCGCGCGCCCATAAATATGCATACGAAAGCCTAGTGTAGCGTCTCTTCAACAAGTGCTGGATTAAAGTTACTGCATCGTACGGTGCGGCCAAGGGGCACTGAGGGACACCTGAGCACGCTTCTGGGCGTCGTGGCGTCTTACTTAATCCGTTGTGCTCTACTTGATGCTTCGCAGTTGCCTCGGCGCTGGTCGTTAAAAGGAGTTGGCCACCGGGCCAAAGACCGAACGCGTTGTCGGCTCTCTGCATCGCGATCCAATTTCGACCAATCGTCGCTTGATGGCATGCTGAGCGGTCGTGGATTGGATACAAAATATTTGATATGCAGCCAATCCGTGGATCGGATACCGTAGGATGCTTTGTGATTGGTACAATATCCATGTTGCCGCAACCGCGACGATCCAGATCTGATTGCCCGCGTCCAGCAGCGACGATGGTGGGGTTCTTGAAGCGAGCAGCTGGCTGGCCACTTTTGCTCTTGCCTCGAGTGCCCACAACACTACCTAAAACTCTATCATGTCGGACAACATCGCCAACGCCTCCCTCCCGCTGCCTCTCGTCCTGCTTCTGGACGTGGCGTCGCAGCTCGCGTCGGCCGTTGCCTTGGTCCTTGGCTACATCCTCGCCATCAACGCGCCGATCATTGCGGTATTATGCTTTGTCGGCCTCTCGATGGCTAGCGCGCTCTGCGATCCCGAGACGACTTGTGTGGCCGTCGCGACGCTCGAGCGACTCTTGCAGACCCAAGCGCCGCTGCTGCAACTGCTCTGATGCGACCACCTCGTACTCTCCTATTTATCCCGCTATAGCTGTCATGCGCTTCTGCTAAAATATATTGCATAACCCTTTTGCACGATGGACATGACTCGGCTTGGAACACAACGACAAGGCGGGAAGCAACGCGTTCGTGCAGCCGAGATTTGTGTTCTAGTCGTATCGAGATGACCACCACAATCGGATCGCCAACAAGCCATAGCAGTGCCTCGAGCCCAACCACGTGCAACTGCAGGCGACAGAGCTCTGCGCTGTAGTGCAACGATCCATTGCATCGTAAACGTCGATCCATTGTGCACATTTTCCCATTTCGACAATGTATCCTCCGACTCGACCAACCGTTTTAGGAAGATCGTCGTCTCCACCGCGCTCGTACAATGAGGCGACTGTCTTCTTAGCCGACGGGTCGCGTCAGGCTCAGCACTGCTCGGTATATACATGAGCAAGGGAGTGTCCCACGGTTCTTGTGGTGTCTCAAGCATGCCATGCCTGCTCGAGACACACCAAGAAGCGTGGGGCAGTCCGCATTTCGGGTCTTACTGCGTAGAGCGTGACGGGACGAGTGCAACGCAATCCCGCAGGATCGAGTTGGTAGAACTGTACGTCGCATCTGCAAGCCGCTGCTTGCAATAATGAAGATGCTGGCGCCTCGCCGAGATCGCGCTGTTTCCGCAGATTCCACTAGGAGGTCGTGGGCCTCGCTCCAGACTGCAGATGTACTACTAGGTGTATTGAATGGTTTAAGCGGCCTTGGCCTTCATCTTCTTGACATCGTCGAGCGGACCCGAGCCCGTGAAGGGACTCGGCTCGCGGTACGAGCCGCCAATGTGGTCCCAGAGCGTAAAATACTGGCCGTAGTTGACCGTAAAAACAAGTGATGGTCCGTGTGGTGCGCGGCGCCGTTGACGATCTTCTCAAACCAGCGCGGCATCTTGTCCATGACGAAGTCGCCGTCGTGGATCGAGATGGTCCAAAAGTTGACAAGCACAAAGAGGCCGAGGTACACGACTAAGAGGAGACTGTGAGACCACCCGATTTTGAAATCTGGTACCTTTCTGGAGCGGCATCAAAAAGATGAAAATGTGGTACGGCGTCGACTGGAGAAAGCCGTCGAGCGGGTCGAACGCATGGCTCGCAAACGGCGATGGCACGAGCCACTTGTGGTGCAATTTGTGCACGTGCTTGTAGACGAGCGGGTGGTGCAGCCAGCGGTGGATCCAGTAGATCGCCATGTCGTTGAACATCATGAAGCAAAAGATGCTGAACGCAAGGTACGGGTAGCCATACTCGTCGAGGTCGTCGTAGAGGAAGCTGTAGCCGCGGACTTCGGCAAGGAACACGGGCAGCGTGAGAAGTGTCATGACCGGAATCGCCGAGCACGACACCTTCATCTCGAGCCAGATCTGGTTTTTCAGAAACTTGGGGTGCTTCATGTACTCCTTGTCGTAAATAAAGTGGTAGCTCAGCGTCGCAAAGCTCAGGTACAGGACGTAGCCGCCGAGCATCGTGATGAAGAAGAGCGAGATGGCTTGGCGGTACACGTCGTCGGCCGGCCACGACGCCGGGTACACGTGCGGCGTGAGGATGTACTCGTCCGCAGCTGCGAGCACCAAGTCCATCTTGCTGCTGCTGCTGGAATATCGACAAGTGAGGAAGGCGCCGAAGGACTTGAGCAGATGTAAACACCCTCGATTACTGGCGCTGCCTTTCAACCAATCACATGCAATCGATTTGGAATTATAGCCAATCCACAACGCGTGTTGGATCGACCTCGCAAAACGATCTGGCTTTTCGACCAATGACAAGCGACCTGGCTTGTTTTTGCAAGGGACCGACGACGACACTGGTCCATGCCACCATCGGCCGGGCGGAGAGTGACTGCAAGCACGACGACGACGACGAGGCGGATCATCAATCATCTAGTCGATGGGCGCCCATGGAGGCAAGTGCAGTGGATGCAGCGCATGGCGCGTCGTGCGACGCAATGACCACGTTGAAGCGAGCGGCAAGTCGGTGACAGCACGCATGGCTGGTTTCGCTGCATAGCAACACGCATGGCGTCAAGAGTCCATCGAGAGGAAACGATTGCGCTTGGTGGCGCTTGTCGATCGCAAATGGTGTTGGGCGACGTGCACCAGGTTGCACGCGCGCGACGAGAGGTGATGCCATACGAGTGCTTGCTGCTGCTACGCGCAGGAGCCTTCAAGATCTATCAAGGATCCATGCCTTGGATCGCCGTGGCAGCTCATTCTCATGGTACTCGTCGTCCAAACGCGTGTTTACGCAGTCGTGTCGATCCACATGTCCCGCAACTCTACGGTCGTGTCTATACAGGCGCTGAGCATGACACGAAGAAGGCATGTCGAGCTGCAATGCACTCGACAAGTGGACGACGATGCAAAGCTGAGTTCTTGACCATGGATCGCTCGTACGATCGGCGCCATGGGTCGCGACCTCCTAGCTGGTTGTTGATGTTGTTTCGTATGATGAAATGGGCTTCTGTTGTTCGAGTCTGCTCGTCCCATCGCGACCTCTCTCTCTTCTTGAAAATGGCCGTACGACTTGTGCACGTGATGCCCCTTACTGTGGCGGCGAGGTGTAGCGGTCGTGGAAGCAATCGGAAATGGCGCGACTCGAACCCAGCTCTACTAGTACGTGGTATCTATTATACATCGCTCGACACAAAAATCGACCGAATCTTCCGATCTGAGTGAAGCGAGGTTATGTGGATAGCTCAGGCCGGCGTGATGATGTCGGCGCCACTCGCTGCTCAGGAGAACCCCCATGGATTTCGAGTCTATCGCCTTCACCGCTCGGCCAAGCTGTCTTCCTAGAAGAAGAAGAACGTCCTGCATCATACTGAACGAGTCAAGGTTATTGAAAAGCTACTTTGCTTATAAAGGTGACTACGGGTCGCTTGGAAAGCACGGTGTCATCTTGAGGTCCGGGAAGGCGTCCATACCGTTCATGGCCTTTAAGAACGGCGCGTTTACCGAGCGCCAGTCCTTGTTGAGGAGACCTTCGATATAGTTGCCCGGTGTATCGGCGGGGTTGAACTGGTACGCGGACTCGGGGTTGAGCGACCACATGTAGCCGCCCGCGTAACTCTCGCTCACCATGGTCTTGATGGTGTACTCGGAGCAGCGCTGGGTCGTCTTCTTTGGGTGTAAATCCTGCGTGTAGAGGCCGCCAAACTCCCCAAGGACCACCGCGGGGCCCTTGCCGTCGTTGAGATAGCCAAACATGTGGTGCATGGTCTGCCCGACGCGGCCCAAGAGCTTCTCGTCGTCGAGCTCGGTGAAGTTGGAAATCGCGCTGTTGGCGAGCGTCTTGCCGCCGCCAAAAAGGTAGTACTGCGGAAAGACCGCCGGGTTGTAGTAGTGCGGCGCGTACACGAGCTTGTTGGCTGCCGGCAGGACGACGGGGTAGTCGCCGGCCTTTTGCAAGCCGCCGCCAAACCAGTCGTAGTAGCCAAATTCTTGGCCATCGAGCACGATTGTATGCTGCGCGTTGACGCCTTCGACAAAGACGAGCCATTTCGGACAGCCCTTGAGAATGCGCGCGCCAATAAGCTCGGCGCCCGCGCGGAAATCGTTCTCGAGCTTGGTGCCCCACGTGCCTTGCCACGGCTCGTTCTTGACGTCAATGCCAAGAATGTTCCAGTACTTGTCCGAGCAGAGTGCTTTCGTAAGCATGTCAATCGACTTGAGAAACTCATCGGCCGTCAACGACTTGCCGTACCAGAGCGAGCCGCCGACGTTCATGAGGTCGAGCGTGTGCATCGAGATCATGACCGAGATCTGGCGGTACCCGAGCGACTCGGTCACGGAACCGAGGAGACCAATGTACGACGTGAGATCTAGTGCGCGGTTGGTGACGCGGTTGATGATCGAGAGCTCGGGCGCCTTGTTGCTCAAGAGGCTCTCGACACAGAGCGGGATGCGCACCGAGTTGAACTTGTTCTTGGCCAGAAATTGAGCGATCGCATACTACAATCGAAACAAATAGGGTCCGTGATCGCTCCACTGCGACGGGCGTACCACGGTCGTCCCGTTCTGGGCATTGTCCCATAGCCCAAACGGCGAGCGGAGCCCACTAGAGAAAAGCGTGGTCATCCAAAAAATGACCAGATTTTCCGACGCGGTACGTACGTTTCCATGCCAAACCAGTTGACGCCCTTGATCTGAAACGAGACCTCGGTGCCGTTCTTGGCGACGGCGTAGAGCTTGCCATTCTTGCTCTGGTAATCGGGCTGCTGGCACGAGCGTGGCGGATACACTTTAGGGTTGTTGACTTGGCCGTCCTCGTCGACGTCGACGTCGTCCGAGCCCGACCCGCTGGTCAACCCGTTGGCAATGGACCGCTCTTTGGCCAGCCGCTTTTGCACGGCAAAGGCTCGATCGTGGGCTTCCTGGCCTTTCGAGACACTAAAGTACGCGATCGCTGCGATCGCACCGCCGACAATCACGACGAGCAAGAGCACACCGGGCCACCTCTACTCCATGCTGTCAGATACCAAGGTATGGCATGGAAGACAGGTAGTACCCGGAGCCGGCCCTTGTAGACCTTATGGGGTGACCGCGTCGTGTTCTCGGCGGCGCGTGGGTCGAGCGGCGCGGCAATGATGTTGCGCTCCATGAGCGACGCACGCGTGCCGTGGTGCGACGACGACGAGTGGCGCGTCGGCGCGCTGTAGGCAAAGCTGCTGCCACGGACGCTGTCGTCGTCGAGCTGGCTGGGTCGGTCCATCGCGGGCGTAATCTGAAAATGGCGCCGTCCCTGCGGCGTATCCTGTCCGGTAGCATTTGACGTCGCGCGCTCCAGTGCATACAAACATCGAGTTATCTTTTATAAAATGTAAAACGTGAAACAGCCGGATTTTCGAAGCACCAATCAGAAGCGCGCGTCTAAATTTCGTCCGCCCTGCGTGTCGCGGGCGCAGGGCTAGGGCTGCATGCAATCGACCCAGTGCTATGGATTCCCACCTCGCGACACTCGCGACCTTGAGCAATTGAGCAATTGAGGGGGTGGGCCCGTCGGAATGGGAGGCAAACTCGATTCCGACGGACCATGAGGCGACAAGTGTACTACAACGAGCTCGCACCGCATTGCCGTCGCTTTAAGCTGACCTGGTCAGAGAGCCCTCTTGGAGAGGCTCGTCGTTTAAGAGCGCTCCCGCGATGCGTCGCCCACCCAGCGCATCATCATGCTTTCTGTCATCGAGCAGGTAGTAGCGCTGTTACCGACAAGGCAGGTAGGCAAACTCGCAGAATGGAACAGAAGCGCATGCGAACGATGAATAGCATAGTACTGTAGGGCTCCAGAGTACGAAGGACAAGCGGCGTTCGATTGTTGAAATGCCACAGTCGACGACGAGGGCAAGGTGCGACAGTCGCCTCCGCGCAATCCAAGAGCCTTTGTCGAGAAGCACGGAGGAGCTTGGGCGTATCACCGCAACCAATCCACGAATCCATGGCGCCCTCTTTTTTGGCTCCCCCCGTCGCAACACGTAGGAAGGGGTCGATTCAAAGGCGCATCGTCGATCCAGTGCACCGACGTCGTATCTGTCACGTTGTGTCCAACGACCTTGTGTCCAACTGCGAGTACCACATTTATCGTTGCTAAAGGACGTAGGGTGCTTAATATTACAACATTCCTCCAATGAGGCTCCTTGGCCAAGACCACCATACGATCTTATATTACGTTCCTATGGCTGTTGCCACGGGCTAAAATATCGTAGAGTCATTTTGCTGATGTCGTCAATCTTGCAATAACCGAGAGTGGTAACATGGTAGTCGCCGTCCAACGAGCTGCACGGCGGCATCGGACAGGTGAGAAATCACTGCACACAGTTGACACCCCTGGTCTGCACGACACGCCCTCGATGAACTTGCAATGTGATCTCATCGCAGTTCCTACAATGTACTGTCTGTTTCGCCCCGTAGATGAACAAGCTGCGTTCTTCATTTGTCTCGTCGTCCGTCAGGCCAATGGTACACAAGATCGATGCTCTCATGTTCCATTGACCGCGTTCGCGGGCAATTTGTTAGCATCCCAGTCCATGGTGAGGGCTGGCATTGTCGCAACGGCAACGAATGTTTTAATGTCGACATGACGTTGGTTAGCCACTCTCACGCCACCATCGCACGACGGCTACATGCGCATGTTCCAGCGTGCACGATCGCACAGGTCGACTGAACCCCGCTAAGAAAGCTTTCTTACCGGTACTGTAGTGTCTTTGTATTCCACGCCGTGCGATTGCTGTGACAAACGTATCAAGATATCATGGTGACCGACCGATTGCAGCATGCACCAAGCTCAAGCTGACGTGACCGTTCGTTCGGCATGGCGATCTCCCGTCCCAGCGCAACATCCTCGTGCGTATTTCAAGATCACGGCGATCAAGAAACCTCGCGGAGTCCTCACAACGTCATGTGAGCAAGACGAGCCGCCACGCAATCGCGGCCCGGCGAGCGAGTGAAGACGACGGTGGAGAGTGCTAGGCTCTACCCAAGTCTATGTAACACCAAGGGGATATTTTCTAGGGTTTTTATCCCTTGGTACCACAACGAGAGCAAACGACACCCAAGGTTGATTTCACCTCGAACCACTTTCAAGTGACAGCGACACGGGAAACAACAAACGTGAATGCCATAGATACAATATTGACACCGAGCGCGACGACGTTACCAGAGCGCAAAGTGGTCTTCGACAACACCGAACGCATTCTCGACCGTGATCTCGTGCACAATATTGTCTTCGGTCGCGCAGACAATGCGTCCCGAGAAGGTGCCGTACGGCTGCACAAAGCGCGAGTGCACAAGATACGGCACGCCCGCGTCATCCCGGCGGGCGCCGGCCGGCGTAAACACGAGCGTCACATTGTCAAGCAGCGTCGGCGCGATGGATGCAATGCGCCACGTTGCGTGGATCGGATCCACATCTGGAATCTGAAACTGAACCCCGCGCAGCGCGCACACGCGGCCGTCGACCCAGATGGCATTTTCCTGGGACGCGCCATCGACGTCGTACACGTGTTGGCTCAAGTTGATGCCGATCGCGGCGCCGTCGGCGGCAAAGAAGCTGGCGGACGCCCAGTGCCACGTCGTCTCGCGGAGCGCCATGCTCTTGGTCCAGTCGATCGCGCCGAGACCGCGCTCGACCGTCACGTGGCTCGCGCCAAAGTGGAGATGGCCACTCGCGGCACTGCCCGCGCCCTTGTGCACATAGGCGGGTCGCCATGGGTCGTCGGCCAGCGGGTACAACAGCGTGAGCGCTTCGTCGCGCTGGAGGGCCAACTCCATGGCAAACGGCGTCGTCGTCGATCCGTTGGCACTGGTGAGCGGGACGTTGGCGCGGAGCCGCCACGCGCCGCCGGTGTAGCAGGCTTCAATAGTCTCGTTGCTGTCGAGCATCGTTGCGGCCGTGAACGCCGTGCACTGCTGCGTATCGATGGACGACGCGGCGAAGGCGAGACCGACATTGCCCGGACGGCGGGCTGCGTACTCGTGCTTCTCCATACTATCCTTGTCGACAAGGTACAAGAAGACGTCCGAGACGTACTGCAGCTGGACGAAAGCGAACCCGAGAAAGAAGCGCGGCGTGTCGACGCTCGTGTAGTGCCAGAGCTTGGTCTGGAGGCGCGACGTGAGGGCGTCGAGAACGTCGATCGTAGGATCGTGGCTGTGAAAGCCAACGTCGGTGATTGCGTGCTTCCATCGGCCAAAGCTGTAGCGGCCGTCCGTGTAGGCGGCGTCCGGCGGCGCGGAAGCGAGTGGCGCGTGGGCTGGAAAGTGCAACGTGGTCGTTTTCGCGTATGGCGCGGCGCGCGGCCAGAGCAGGAGCGCCAGCAGCAGCGCGGTCGCAGCACTCACTAGAGCCTGCTTGTGCATCGTAGCTCGAATCGGCGACTGGCGACTGGCGACGACCGGCGACCGGCGACCGACGTCGGAAGCTTGAGGATTGCGCAAGGTTTGCGTAGTTGCTGGCAATGAAAAGGCAATGCCGGTCTGGGATTGGCTACTGCGCAAGATACAAAACGGCCAGTTTACGTCATCTTCCAGCCATGTTGATGCTGATGATTGCACTCGACCAGCTCGCACCAGCTCTGGGCGGGCGACCGGGACCGGAGTAGCCGACCAAGCACGACAGAGCGACCAGTCGCCGACCATGGCTGGCGAAATGGCCCGCGGCCATTAAAGCGATCGGCCGCGGCAGTGTCACATGCGTGAGCGACGCAATGCAGCGGCCGTTCCCATGGCCTTTCCATGCACGTGGACAGGTCCAGCGGTCCTCGCTGGTCGGCGATAGTGCACGAGCAGCTTGCATCGCCCATGTTCAGAACACAGAGCTTGGTTGCCTGAGGACTGGCGGTTCTCGCTGGCTGTTCTCACTGGCGAAAGGCCGAGTCCGATCCCGTTTGCATCATTGGAGCCTGCAGCCACTCGAGCACCTCGTTGTCATCTCGTGGTGGGTCTTGGTGCTGCTCGTAGAGTCTCTGCACTCGTCTCGCACCCTTCTTCGTGCCCATGCTATCGCTCAAAGACAGACTTTTGTACAGACGCAACGAAGCATGTTTTTATGTCCGTTGGCATTAGATAGCAGCGTGTAAAAGGATACTGGCGCAAGCTTCGCTGCGATCGCGAGCGCGCGTCCAGTTGGTCGTCATGTGGGCTCATGTGCCGGCGATCTGGCGGCACATGGGGCAGTCGAAGCGTGTGGTGTACCACTCGTTGATGCAGTGCTCGTGGAAGAAGTGGCCGCAGAGCGAGAGCACGAGCTGGTTGCCGTCGAGCTGCCCCAGTCGTTGAGGCAGATCGGGCACGAGTCCGTGTCGACGCGCACGTCCCGTGGGTCGACGTACGTCAGCGACTTGATCGCGCGAATGTGCTGCTCTTCGTGGGCCAGCGGAAACTGCAAAAAGTCCTTGGTCTAAAGCCGTCGTCGAATGATTCATGCGTGCACATCGCGAGGGCGTTTCGTACCATGACTTGAATCGCGAGGATGTTCTTGCAGTGCACCGTGATCCCTTCGGCGCTGAGGTACTGGGCGAGCGCAACGACAAAGTCCTCGAGGCCACTCGTGCGCGCGGTGACCTGCGCCGCTACCTCGACCTTCTTGAAGATGCTCGATCGACCGGGAAAGTCAAACTTGGCGATCTGGCCGTGCAGCGCTTTGCAGTACGCGCAGCTCATCTTCATGTGGATCTCGAGCTGGTCGAGAATGCGCTTCCGGAGCCGATGGAACTCCGAGTAGCGGTGGCAGACGATCCACTTTTGCTTGTAGTACTCGGACGTGATGGTCATGTGGTACGAGTAGTACGGGTTCGTCGGCGCGCGCACGAGGACGGCGCTCGTCGAGAGTGCGAGCTGCTTCAAGCTGTCTTGCTGGATCTTGCGCACGAGCCGCTTCTTCGCGTTCGCCGCTGCGGTGGCATGTGAGCATGAGCGCGCGCTAGCCTCCATGTACCTGTGTAGCGGCCGCCACCGCCGATGCCACTCATGCCATCGTCGCTCATCGCGTACTGCGCATGCGTCGCCATGATGGGATGGAGCGGTCGAGAGATGCAGTTGATGAAAATGGCGACTGCGCGTTCTCCGGCTGGCCAAACCGGCCATGTCCGAATTTCAGGCTCTCGTCCTGGTCTCACATCCGAATTTCAACATACTACGGAAATAGTGTACGTGGAACATCTTGTTGCACCGTGACGTCCAGCACCAACCTTGAACCTTGCCATGGACACACGCTCCATCGATGACGCAATTGCATTGTCAGTGCGCCATGCAGAAGCATAGCGTCAAGGTCGCCATCAAAAACCACGCGTGCAAGGACAAGCGCACGATGACGATACCAGGACGCTTTCATACACTATTTAATTTTCGAAATTAGGTTTGGTTGGGTCAGCCCAGCCAGTTACACATAGTATGTGTCACATCAGCTGACGCAAAACAAAATGGTAGCGCCGTCTGCCAATATATATATATTTGTGAGGACGGGCAAGGGAGAGGCGTCACTGCGTGGACACGTATCGTCCGCTCGTTGTGCTGCATCCTCGCTTCCATCGAACGCGACAGCCAGACGCATTCTCCAGCTACGCAATTCCCCAAATTTCGACGAAATTACGAAAAAAATCCCCGGAAAATCCATTTTGGAACTGGTTACAAGCCCCACGGCGCGAGCGTCACCAACTCTTCGGCGGCCGTCGGGTGAATCGCAATGCACGCGTCGAGGTCCTTCTTGCACGCACCCATCTACAGCCGTCCACCTTGCATTTTTTTCAACGTCCAATCCAAAGGCTACCTTGATCGCGACCCCAAAGCCCTGGAGCATCTCGTCGGCGCCGCGCCCAATGACGTGCAATCCGACAATCTTCTCGGTGGGACCGACGCAGATGAGCTTCATGGCTGTCGTCGGCTTTTCGTGCGCGTGCTCGTACAACGAGTAGTGCATGTTGACAAACTTGGAGCTGTACACCTACCCCCACAGCGGTGTCACCCTGCTCGCAGCATGCGATTACCTTGATTTCGTCCTCGCGGTAGACCTTGCGGGCCTCTTGCTCCGTGAGCCCGATCGTGCCTAGAAACACACAAGTTGAGAGAGGCTGGAGCGTTCATACAAAGTACCGATCGGAGGATGGCTAAAGACGACCGACGGAATGCTGGTGTAGTCGGCCTTAGCGTCCGGGAGGCCACCAAAGAGTCGATCGGCCAAGCGCCGGCCTACGCATGGAGGTAAATGGTAATACCGACCTTTCGATCAGAGTCTTCTCGACCCGCTGCAATGGCGACCGGGGTCAGCGCCGCCTAGAAAAATACCACATGACATGATTGACCCTATGGTGAAATCAGCTACCGTATTGACCACGTCGCCAAGGGCAAAGACACCGGGGGCACTCGTCGCTTGGTACGCGTCGACGGGAATAAAGCCGTTGGGCGACAATTCAATCCCGCGATGTTCGAGGCCGAGGTCTATGTGGTGCGAATAAGAATCGAGATGCCGGGACCGTTCGAGCAGACGCTTGGTCATCGGTGTCCGGCCCGTGGCCACAAGGACGCAGTCAAAGCCGGTATGGTAGTCGCCCGCCGTCGTCGTTAGGCTGAGAGTGCCCGTCGCCGGATCCTACGCCCGCCGCGTCAGCCGACGCCATGAGGACGCGCAAGACGACCTTGTCGACGCGAGCGACCGTGCTGTGCGGCTGCAGTGTGATCCCGTCGCGCTTGAAAGCGTCATGGAGGACCGATTGGAGCATGTCCTAGCATGTAGCGTGCCACGAGTACGTCAAGATGGCTTGGACGTACGTCGAACGAGCGCAGGACGCCTTGCTGGCGGCAGAAGATCGTCGTGTCCGAGCCCAAGCCGCGCAACACGCCGGCGAGCTCGACGGCAATGTAGCCGGCGCCCACCACCTACGTACACGGTCGATAATTCGAGCATACATCTTCTACGACAAGGCGACGTTTACCGCAACACGGGCCGGGCGCTCGTCGAGTTCAAAGAAACCATCCGAGCTAATGCAGTGCTCGATGCCAGGAATGTCGGGCATCACGGGCTGGCCGCCGACGGCCACCAAACGTTCGTCGCCTCGGCCTAGATCCAATCGTCAAGAGATCGCATGGCATGGCTGCTTTGTCGTATACGTCAAGCGGCGTCGCATCAATCTGAACACGTCCGTCGCTGCCAAAGCTGCACAGACCGTGTGCAAAGTCGACGCCCGAGCCCTGGAGGTTGCTACATGTACGTACATGTATAGTATGAGCCATCGAGCAGACACGACGAGCGTACCGCGCGTAGATGCCATTGAGGCGCGTGACGTAGGCGTCGCGGCGCTGCTTGAGCGTAGCCCAGTCCACCGTCGTGTTGGGCACTGCGGGAAAGCCATACGCTGGCGCGTCGTGCCGCATGCTATGGGCGAGGTCGGCGGCCGCGTACATGACCTTCTTAGGCACGCAGCCCACGTTGACGCACGTCCCGCCGAGGCGCCCGCGCTCGACGACGAGGACCTTCTTGCCGTACGTGGCTGCCCGGCGCGCGGACGCGATACCGCCGCTGCCGCCGCCCATGACCACGAGGTCGTACATGCGCTGCATCGTGGTGGCGTTGACCGAAGATTGCAAACTGTCACGAAAACGTTGCGTGGATGGCCAATCACCAGCGACGCTTTAAGCATTTCAACCTATCCGATGCGTTCACGCCCAGGTATTTAGCCAATGAAACGTCGCGCAAGCTCGTAGGGTCACGCGCCGCCAGCCAGCGCGATCCGGTCATGGGTTTGCCCACGGCCCTGCGTACCACGCAGAGTCCGCGCGCAGAAGCGTCTTGACTGTCTGGTACTTTGCTAGCGATAGGGAGTAAGAGGCAAGGACTTGGGACGCATGCAATTGGATTGGCCCGAAAAGGCGAGAGTTTTGACCAATCCGAGCCGTTTCGTTCGCAGAGGTTACACCCGGTTTCATCCGAGTAAATCCAAAGAAGCGGCAAGATGCTGGACCGTATCGGCAAGGTCGTCGCCGACATCATCGCGCGCTGCAAGTACGAAGGCGTCCTCGTCTCCGACACGCTCGCTGCGTTCATCTGCCGCACGGTACGATATTTTCGTGGCATTTTTTTCGCGGAAATTCGGTGATTTTGGCGATTTCCTAGATTGTCCAAGAAGACTCGAACGTCTTTTGCCTCGATGGTGACATTGACGCTGCGGGGCTCGCGGAACTCACGAAGCGCAGCGTCGACATGCTCCTCCGGAAGGACTCGCCGTCGCTCGAGACGATCAAGATGCAGCTCGACTTTGACTTGTGCTACGTCAAGCACGAAGTAAATGCCACTTATTTTTGCTTTGGAATCAATCCTATGCGAATGGTGGTATCGTAGGAAGACGTGGAGAAGGCGGCGGCAATGAAAGAAAAGAAAATCGCCAACTTGCACAAATCGATTGTCGCCCTCCAGCCGTCGGGCACGAGTGATTTTGAGGCGCTCACGACCTTGTATCGGCAGGTTGGATTCCTGAAATTTCGACTTTGAAAAGCAGATGGATAAAGTGGCCTTTGATATAGATTTTCACCATGCTCATGGTCCACGCAGACGCCGACAAGGCCAACGACCGCACCATTGAGCGTGAAGTGGCCGCTGCCCTCGAAAGCGTCTTTCCGCGCATTGGGTACCATTTGTATATTGTGTGAATTGCACAACGAAATGTGCGAATCATGTAGACTCAAGTCGTTTGTGAGCATGTCCCCCGATGACAAAAAGTTCCAACTCAAGGAGCTCGCCAATATTGTCGGTGGTATCCGCCTCTTCAACAAGGAAATCGGCAAGGGCGGGGCCGGCATCGTCCTCTCGATTGGTAGCAACGACTGTCGATGCCAACGATGGACAACTTGTCTATCGACTAGACACGATTCGTGACAACGTCGCGTCCATTTCCAAGAGCGTCGCGCTAGAAGTCGACGAGGTCAACCAGATTTGCACCGACTACACCGAAGTGTTGCTGCACATTCATCACTACAACGCGCAGTCGGCGTCCGGGGTCGCCAACCTCAAGCGGTTCGTCGACGACTCAATGAACAAGTTGTCTTATCAATCATTGGCAGGTGGCAAGAGGAGCTCAACAACAAGCGGCAGTTCCTGTCGTACATGCAGTCGCTCCACGAAGACATTGACGTGTCGTCCGACAAGATTGGCCGCCTCGTCACGTCGTTCGAGACCGAGCTCCACACGCTGAAATCGTACGCTATGTTTCTATTGGAACATATTGCCATCCGAGTTGTAGACTGGTCGGGTCGCGCACGTCGCTGCCCAAAGGCCAAGTGTACCCGATATTCGAAGCGCTTTCGAAAGCGTGGGACGAACTCGAGGTCGAGCACCAGCTCCTCCTTGCCCGGTCCCGGTCCATCAAAGCGTATTTTCTTTTGTTCTGATGGATTCTTAGTTTCTAATGTGGTTTTGGAAATTAGGTTGATGGAGTTTAAGGATTCGTACACACGGACCCTGGGGCAACAGTCGGAATGGATTCTCAAGGCCAAGCGCGCGGGCATGCCGCCGCAGGAAGAGTGGTTTGAGCACAGCGAGCCCGACAACCAAGCGTACCTCGTGAGCTCGGCGTCGACGGCAAGCCACAAGGACAGCGCCGCGACGGCGCACGGTAGACCTACTCCTAATCGGTCGTACTTGTGTTGAACTATTGCATCAGGCGACGCGAGTGCCGCCGTCGACAACGTGCCGATTCGCATGTCGGTCGACTCGACGCCCGAATTCATGCAGCTCCCGCTCGAGTACCAAGGCTACTGCCCGTGGACGATCGTGCAGCGCGGCGGTATCCCGACTCGATGAAAAATATATTCTAGTATGTCGAGACTTATATCGGGGATTAGGGTTGCTCTTGCCCGGCGATCCGTCACTCGGCGTGATCCAGTACCACAATGCGTACCACGTCTTTGTCAACGAGCGGGCGCTCAGCGACTTTATGGCGAGTCCCGACACTTACATTTCGGCGGTGCACGCGTTTGTGGTCCATCGCCCGGAGCTCATTTACCTCCTCCGCCTCCAAGTCGACACGACCCTTCTTTGGATCCGTTTTTCAAACCTCTCCATTTTGTAGGAGAGTTTTCCTGATACGTCGATGGCGAGCTTGATGAAATTGCTCAACAACAAGGCGCATGTGCACCCGCTGCTGGCGCCCCACGCCGTCCTCAAGGTCGATGCGAGCACGAGCACGCCCGTGCATTTCGTGGAGAAGAACATTGACAGCACGTACGACTGGAACGAGTGGAGCCTTCGACGCCGTGCGCTCCGCGTGGCCAATCTGCGCAACGTACGCTTTTTCTTGGTATTTTTTTAGATTTTTTGCTCCATTTTTTGCTCCATTTTTGGAGATTTTTGGAGATTTTTAGAGATTTTTAGAGATTTTGGAGATTGTGGATTCATGTTGCATTCTAGTGCAAGACGACGTCGGCCCAAACGACGCTAAGCAACTTTCGCTCGGACGTGGACGCCCAAGTGTGGCTCCCAGCCGAGAATGCGACGCAGACGGGCACGGACCGCGGTACGAACCCGACCAAGACGGTCACGTACTTTGCGGGGCTTCGCGGCGCACCGTCGGGGTTTGCCACGTCCAAGTACGCCGAAGAAAAAGGCGCCGACGACGACGGCAAGACCAACGACGACGAGCAGGACGAGGCCAAAGCGAGCGACGCCAAAGAGACGCCTGCGATCCTCTCGTATACATTTGAACTCTAATC